GAAATCTACACACCCGTTGTAGCGGAAAATCCATCTCTGCAATAGTTGATCAGTTTCGCTTGAGTTTTTTCAAAAATCTTAGTGGCGCTGTAGCAGGAAATTGATTCGCTGCAACTCCCAAACACAAAATGCTATCAATTTGAGTTGATTTGGAGAGATATAAAGAGGAGAAGACTCGTTTTTCAGAAATTGGAGAGGAAGATAGGAAAAAGAGGCATAAAATCCCTAAAAAAGAAGGAACTTTGGAGGCTCAAATCTCATTATTTCATTGAAGATCCTTGAAGAAGATGGTGGATTTAAGCTTAGAAGATCATTCTTCTAACATAGTTCTTCCTTCTCCCTTTATTTACTTTTTAATTTTTAGATTATGTTTTTAGTTATGGATTCCTCTATGTTGAGCTAGATTATTATTCTAGGACTTAATGTAACCTTGTTTGAACTATGTTTTGAATATTTTGTCAATTGTTAGTTTGATTTCCATTTAATTCATTTGTGTTTCTCTATGTTAATTGCTCTAATTTGTGTTTTTTTTTTATGGATTAGAGATATAGATGTGGATTTAGGCTCAGGAGAGTTACTTTCACATGTTGGAATTGGAAAAACACAACCTAGAGTTAGTTGAGTTCGGAAGGCTAATTAATTAGGGTAATCAAAATTAGGTGCTTAATGGATGCTTGATTCAGTTAGGCTAATAAGGATATTGTTTAATTTAGTTTTGCATCCTATTTTGCTTGGCACTCGGGAAAGAAAGTGAAATTACCTTGGAAACCTAATATAAATGAATTGAGTGGAAATGGCTAGCAATAGCTAAATAGGATGAATATAGGAATGATAGGGTGAAGTCAAGTCTCTAGTACATTTGTGCATAGGAGTTTTCATATTTTATTTTATTTTCATATTTATATTTGTTCTTGTTCTATTCTAATTTCAATTAGTTCGAATTCTTAAATAAAGTTGAGTTATGATAATCGTGGTACTTAGTGGCAATTTAACAACCAATCCATGTAGAAATGATACTCACTCACTCTTTACTATCAAAACTTGACACCGTACGCTTGCGGGGCAAACACCCCACTTCTTGCATCTTCTGCCAAATCAGAGAGATCAAAATTTTTTCTACCAAAAAAAAAAAAAAGTCTCTTTCTCAACTCTAACTCTTTCTCTGTAAAAGCTCCCTTTCCCTCTCTTCAATCTTTCTTAAATCCAAGCAATGGTTGTCCAATTCACTGGGATTTCAATCCCAATTCACTGGCCAAAAAGAATCAATATCCTGAATTTGAAGTAAGATACTGGCCGTGGTTTTATTCTTTTAAAAGTTTCCATGAGGGAATAAAGAAAATATTTTAGAACGTTTGAAGAAAGAAAATAATAAATGTGTACAGCTTTTTTTTTTTTTTTTTTTTTTTTTTTTTTTTTAACACCCAA